AGAAGCTAGCTGCTACTTTGCAAGAAACCCTAAAGACAGAACCTTGAGGCTAGAATTGAAGGCTGCCAACAGGCAAGTGAGGGAGTTGGGAGTGGGCTCTTCTGCCCCACGAGAGCTCTCAAATGACCACTGCCCCAGCTAACGAACTGGCTGCAATCTCAGCAAAGATTTTGAGCCAGAACCACCCACCTAAGGCTCTCCTGGATTCCTGAGCCTCAGAATCAGAAACATAATAAATGTTTGTTGTTTTAACTTGCTAAACTTTGGGGTAATTTGTATCAGCAACTGATAATTATTACATCAAGCACTAATAAAAAGATAATCTAATTTAAAAATGAGCAAGAGAGTTAAAACTGCTACTTCACAGAAAGATTAAAAAGTATATGAAAAAGTGCTCAATATCATTAGCTACAGGGGAAATGTAACCGAAAACCACAATGAGATAATACTATACACACACCAGGAGACTAAAATTAAAAAGACTGACAGCACAAAATATTGATAAGGATGTGGAGCAAACATAATTCTTTTTTTTTTAGGTTGGGATATAATTCATGTATAATACAGATTTACCAATTTAAATTATGTAATTCAATGGTTTTTAGTATAGTGCAACCATCACAACGGGCTTCCACGGTAACTCAGTGGTAAAAAATCCACCTGCCAACGCAGGAGATGCAGGGGACTCGGGTTTGATCCCTGGGTTGGGAAGATCCCCTAGAGAAGGAAATGGCAGCCCACTCCAGTATTCTTGCCTGGAAAATCCCATGGACAGAGGAGGCTGGCAGGTTACAGTCCATGGGTTCAAACAAAGAGTCAGACATGACTTAGCAACTAAACAACAACAAAAAAAATCACAACATATTTTAGAATATTTTTATTACACCAAAAAGAAACCCATACGACTTAGCCATCACCTCCAGTTGTCCCACCACTCCTCCCAAGCCCTGCTGTTAAGTCACTTCAGCTGTGTCTGACTCTGTGAGACCCCATAGACGGCAGCCCACCAGGCTCCTCCGTCCCTGGGATTCTCCAAGCCAGAATACTCCTAAGCCCTAGGCAGCCACTAGTCTACTTTCTATCTCTATATATTTGCTTGTTCTAGACCCTCATATCAATGGAATCATAAAAAATGTGATCTATTGTGACTGGCTTCTTCACTTTGCAGTGTTTTCAAGGTTCATTCCTGTGGTATAGCATATATCAACAGAACATTTGTTTTTATTGTCAAATAATATTTTATTGTGGGCATATATCACAAAAGCACCAGTTAGGCCAACTTTTTGTTGATTATAAATAATGCTTTCAAAAAGATTTGTGTGCACTATGTTTTCATTTCTCTTGGGTGTATATCCAGAAGTGGAATTGCTAGGTCTTGTAGTAACTCTGTGTTTAACCATTTAAGGGACTGTCAGACTTCTTTTCTGAAATGGCCACAGCATTTTACATTGCCACCAGTATTTAGGATTCCAATTCCAACACCAACACCTGTTATTATCTGTCTTTTTGATTACAGCCATCCTACTAGGTGTGAAGTCACATCTCATCATGGTTTTGATTTCATTTCCCTGATGGCCAATAATATCGAGCACCTTGTCATATGATTATTGATCATTTGTACATCTTCTTTGGTCTTCCCTTGTGGCTTAAACAGTAAAGAATCTATCTGCAATGCAAGAGACCTGGGTTCAATCCCTGAATCAGGAAAATCCCCTGGAGAAGGAAATGGCAATCCACTCCAGTATTCTTGCCTGGGAAATCCCATGGACAGAGGAACTTGGTGGGCTACAATCCATTGGGTGGCAAAGAATTGGACATGACTTAGTGACTAAGCAACAACAATATCTTATTTGGAGAACTGTCTTTTCAATCTGCTGTCCATCTAAAAAATTAGGCTATTTGTCATTTTTTACTATTGAGTTTTTACGGTTCTTTACATATTATAGATACCACCTCCTTACCATATATATCATTTGCAAATTTGTTTCCCATTCTGTGGATTGTCAGCAACTAGAATTCTTCATCTAAAATTATACAAAAACTGAAAAAGGTTTTAGGTTACATAATTTGCCCAAGGTCATTAAACTCTTAGTGTGTTATATGCAGGTCAGGACTGAAAACATAATTTGTGGAGCTTAGTGAAAAATGAAAATGCAGATTCCTTTGTTCAAAAATTATTAAAAGAATAGCATTAAAGCAAAGGCACAGTCCTTCTAAGCATGGGGCCCTGTGAGCCACAGATTATACACACATAATGCTGGGGCATAGGGAAGATTGGAATTTTGGACTTATCATGGGAAACCCCATGCTTTTCAAAGTAAACCATGCTGATGATTGTTCATTTTTTATGCACACTAACTGATGGTGATGTCAGAGTTCAGTTCAGTCACTCAGTTGTGTCTGACTCTTTGCAACTCCATGGACTGCAGCAAGAAAGTCTTCCCTGTCCATCATCAACTCCCGGAGTTTACTCAAACTCATGTCCATTGAGATGGTGATGCCATCCAATCATCTCATCCTCTGTCGTCCCCTTCTCCTCCTGCCCTCAATCTTTCCCCAGCATCAGGGTCTTTTCAAATGAGTCAGCTCTGAGCATCAGGTGGTCAAAGTATTGGAGTTTCAGCTTCAGCATCAGTCTTTCCAATTAATATTCAGGACTTATTTCCTTTAGGATGGACTGGATGGATCTCCTTGCAGTACAAGGGACTCTCAAGAGTCTTCTCCAACACCAGAGTTCATAAGCATCAATTCTTCAGTGATCAGCTTTTTTTATAGCCCAACTCTCACATCCATACTACTGGAAAAACCATAGCTTTGACTAGTTGGACTTTTGTTGGCAAAGTAATGTCTTTGCTTTTTAATATGCTGTCTAGGTTGGTCATAGCTCTTCTTCCAAGGAGCAAGTGTCTTTCAATTTCTACAGCCACCATCTGCAGTTGATTTTGGAGCCCAGAAAAATAAAGTCAGCCACTGTGTCCACTGTTTCCCCATCTATTTGCCATGAAGTGATGGGACCAGATGCCATGATCTTAGTTTTCTGAATGTTGAACTTTGTCAACTTTTTCACTCTTCTCTTTCACTTTCATCAAGAGGCTCTTTAGTTCTTCACTTTCTGCCATAAGGGTGGTGTCATCTGCATATCTGAGGTTATTGATATTTCTCCCGGCAATCTTGATTCCAGCTTGTGCTTCCTCCAGCCCAGCGTTTCTCATGATGTACTCTGCATATAAGTTAAATAAGCAGGGTGACAATACACAGCCCTGACACACTCCCTTTCCTATTTGGAACCACTCTGTTGTTCCATGTGCATTTCTAACTTGCTTCCTGACCTGCATACAGATTTCTCAAGAGGCAGGTCAGGTGGAATGGTATTCCCATCTCTTTCAGAATTTTCCACAGTTGATTGTGATCCACACAGTCAAAGACTTTGGCATAGTCAATAAAGCAGAAATAGATGTTTAGCATAGTTAATACAGCAGAAGTAGGTATTTTTCTGGAACTGTCTTGCTTTTTCGATGATCCAGTGGATGTTGGCAATTTGATCTCTGGTTCCTCTGCCTTTTCTAAATCCAGCCTGAACATTTGGAAGTTCGTAGTTCAAGTACTGTCGAAGCCTGGCTTTGAGAATTTTGAGCATTATTTTGCCAGCATGTGAGATGAGTGCAACTGTGCCATAGTTCGAGAATTCTTTGGTGTTGCCTTTCTTTGGAATTGGCTCTCTTCAGTCCCAAAGAAGGTGATGTCAGAGGGTGATGGCAAATAGCAATTTCCCACAACTGATTAAAAACTGAATTGGAAGTCAGGAGTTCTTTCTGTTGCCCTGTTTGACCTCTGTTCAATGAGTATTTGGTAATTATATTTGAGGTAAGCAGAAAGGTAATTTTGGACCAAAGCCTTGACAGTATATCCACAGATGTCAACTTGCTGAGACTAACTTCTTCAAATTCCCTCTCTCTGAAATTCTTCCTTGAGTATCTCCTTCTTAATAAATGTATCAGTGCTTCAGTGGTGATGAAATGTTTGCTGGGGGACTTCTGGGTGTATCAGGTCGCAGAGGACCAATCTTCTGTATCTATGTAATAGTGGATACCAGTGGATGAGTTAAATTTTGGTTTCATTCAAGAGTAGGCTACTTTCTAAGTGCAATTATGCTTTCACTGATAACAGTAACTTAGTTCAGTTGAAGACATATCTATCACCTCTTAAGGAGACAATTCTTGTCTGTTATTAATTAAGAAAGAGTGGGGAATTTATAACTTTTCCAAAAAACTGGAAATATTAATATATCAATACTAATATGAAAGTTCTGCTGTTAGGCTAGCAAAAAATTACATAAATGTCCTCTTTTTATCACATATATTTCATCCATTTGATTCTCAGAATAGGAAGTAAGTTTATATTTTTTAAAATTAAAAACAAATTTTTTTTGACCCCACCGGCAGGCATGCGCGATCTGTTCCCAAACCAGGGATAAAATTTACGTCCTCTGAAGTGGCTCGCTGCGCAGTTTTAACCACTGAACCGCTAACGAAGTCCTAAGCTTACCATTTTTAATTAAAAAAAAAAAAAAAAACCTTAAAGCTCCAGAAAAGTTTCTCCTGTCACTCTTCGATAGTCAAACTAAGCGGCTTTTTCCAACAGAGCCCCTAGCGAGCAATCTCCTCCCACGCTCCGTATCTGCCCGCCTCTGCTCTCTGACCGCGTCTTCAGCCCCCAGTCGACCTCCGCCTCCAACTGGGCCCCGCCCGGCTCCGCGTCGCCCCGGCCCGGCCCGCCCCGGCCCACCTGCTGTGTCTCTCGGCTCATTTCCTCAGCAGTTGCTCTCGCCCTGCCCCTCAGCGCGGCGCAGCGGAAAGGGCCTGCTCTGGGGCTCTCTAGCCCTCTGGAGGACTTGCCATCTGTTTCCGGAGGCGTCTGGCGGCGGTAGGTGGATCTGACGTGAGGAGCCGCGCTGAGTGGGGTGCTCAGTCAGTGCTGCTTTAGGCTCCGGTGTTTTGGCAATGGGGCAGCAGGGGTTGTGCAGTCTCATGTTGAGGTGAGTATGCGAGCGGCTAAGGACAGCCTCGTCACTTGCGGTTGCCCGGTTGCCCGGATGAAAAAGGTCGGGAGTGGGGACTGTCTGGCCTTGAAGTTTCGCGTCGACTTTGGAGACGCAGCGCTCAGACCCGACTCGCCCGGATGGGACTGGTTTTTTGATTTAAGGATAGTCACGGCTTTAGAGGGGGCTTCCTAGGTGGCTCTAGTGGTCAGAAAGCCACCTGTCTATCCAGGAGACATAAGAGACCACGGGTTCGATCCCTGGATGGGGAAGAACTCCTGGAGGAGGAAATGGCAACCCACTACAGTATTCTTCCCTGGAGAATCCCATGGACAGAGAAGCCTGGCTGGCTACAGTCCATAGGGTCCGAAGAGTCGGACACGACTAAGGAGACTTAGCACGCACAGCTTTAGAGCAATGTGTCTTGTTTTGACACGGTATCCATGGGCCTGGGGGGCTTCCCGTGTGCCGCTAGTGGTAAAGAACCCTCCTGCCAGTGCAGGAAGACATAAGAGATGTGGGTTTGATCCCTGGGTCTGGAAGATCCCCTGCAGGTGGGCATGGCAACCTGCTTCAGTATTCTTGCCTGGAGAATCTCATGGGCAGAGGAGCCTGGTGGGCTTATGGGCCACAGGGTGGCAAAAAGTCCGACACGACTGAAAGGACAGCATGAATGCACACGGCGGACCTGTTGTTCAGTATTTGAAAAAAAAAAATAGAAGAGTTGCTTTCCTTCCCCCCGTGTGTTTTTTTTAAAAAATTATTAACTTGTTTATTTTTGTACGTTGGAATTAGTTGTCCCTGTGACTCTAACTAGCTCACCAAGAGACTTGGCAGATATAAAGAAAATCAGTATATGTAATCAGTGCTGCTGCTTTTTTGAAGCTTTGAACAAATATCAAATTGTTTGAGAAACAAATTGGGAAGGCATATTTGTTAACAAAATTAAATGACTTGGGAAAGACTTTATCATTTCCAGAGTTCAGGTTGGTTTTGTACCTCCCCGAATTGCAAGGTGCACTGATTAGGCAAGTCCCGGACCCATTTGGGGGCTTTTATCAGAGATGCGTTTTCCAGGGCTAGGCCTGGTATGGGTATTACCCTAGCAAATCAGAGAACAGAGGCGAGTTTCATCCAGTCTATAACAATGTAGTCTACAAATGTATTAAGTTATAGAGTGCCAAAGTTTTCTGAGAGAAAGTAGGGCCTCTGTGCTGTGGTTGACACTTTTGTCCAGTCCTTAAAGTCAGGCTTCGCTTGGCTTTTCGGCCAGCATCTTGCTTTCCTACTACCATTCTTCACTACTTATCTTGCCCTGGTGCCAATACAGCCCTTGGAATTTGTTGTCATCGTTGTTCCCAATAGAGTACCTCACTCTGAAGATAACTCTCAAGTTTGTATGACTAGCCCCAATTTATCCTGAGCTCTAGTACTATTCACAACCACCTGAATGTCTTCTTTGCACTGTAGATGTACATTTGGACATAACTGCAACCCTTGTTCCACCTTTGCACTTTCAACTTCTTAGTACTATCCATCCTTTTAGATTCCTGAAGTTATCTAAGTTCTCCCACACTCCTAATCCTTATCTCTTCCTGCTGATTTGAATTTGAACACTCTTCTCATGATCTTATTACGCGTTCATTTTGTGGAAACTTGATTTATCTCTTGTTCAGTCACCAAGTCATGTCTGACTCTTTTCGACCCTCTGGACTGCAGCTCACCAGACTTCCCTGTCCTTCATCTTCCTGAGTTTACTCAAACTCATGTCCACTGAGTCAGTGATGCCATCCAGTCAGCTCATGCTCTGTTGTCCCCTTCTCCTGCCTTCAAGCTTTCCCAGCATCAGGGTCTTTTCCAGTGAGTCAGCTCTTCAAATCAGGTTGCCAGAGGATTGGAGCTTCAGCTTCAGCATCAGTCTTCCAATGAATATTCAGGGTTGATTTCCTTTAGGATTGACTGGCTTGATCTCCTTGCTGTCCAAGGGTCTCTCAAAAGTCTTCTCCAGCACTACAGATCAAAAGCATCAATTCTTTGGTGCTCAGTCTTCTTTATGATCCAACTCTCCCATCCGTACATGACTGCTGATTTATCTCTCATCTGTTTGCAATTTGAATAGATTCTGCACATGTTCAGTTCAGTTCAGTCACTCAGTCGTGTCTGACTCTTTGTGACCCCATGAACTGCAGCATGCTAGGCCTCCCTGTCCATCACCAATTCTCGGAGTCCACTCAAACCCATGTCCATCGAATCGGTGATGTCATCCAATCATCTCATCCTCTGTTGTCCCCTTCTCCTCCTGCCCTCAATCTTTCCCAGCATCAGGGTCTTTTTAAATGAGTCAGCTCTTCGCATCAGGTGGCCAAATACTGGAGTTTCAGCTTCAGCATCAGTCCTTCCCATGAACACCCAGGACTGATCTCCTTTAGGATGGACTGGTTGGATCTCCTTGCAGTCCAAGGGACTCTCAAGGGTCTTCTCCAACACCAGAGTTCAAAAGCATCAATTCTTCGGAGCTCAGCCTTCTTTATAGTCCAACTCTCACGTCCATAGATGACCACTGGAAAAACCATAGCCTTGACTAGACAGACCTTTGTTGGCAAAGTAACGTCTCTGCTTTTTAATATGTTGCCTAGGTTGGTCATAACTTTCCTTCCAAGGAGCAAGCGTCTTTTAATTTCATGGCTGCAGTCACCATCTGCAGTGATTCTGGAGCCCAGAAAAGTCAACCACTGTGTCCACTGTTTCCCCATCTATTTGGCATGAAGTGATAGGACTGATGCCATGTTCTTAGTTTTCTTAATATTGAGCTTTCAGTCTCCTCTTTCACTTTCATCAGAGGCTCTTTAGTTCTTCCTCACTTTCTGCCATAAGGGTGGTGTCATCTGCATATCTGAGGTTATTGATATTTCTCCTGGCAATCTTGATTCCAGCTTGTGCTTCCTCGAGCCCAGCGTTTCTCATGATGTACTGTGCATATAAGTTAAATAAGCAGGGTGACAATATACAGCCTTGACGTACTCCTTTTCCTGTTGGGAACCAGTCTGTTGTTCCATGTCCAGTTCTAACTCTTGCTTCCTGACCTGCATATAGGTTTCTTAAAGGCAGGTCAGATGGTCTGATATTCCCATCTCTTTCAGAATTTTCCACAGTTTGTTGTGATCCACACAGTCAAGGCTTTGGCATAGTCAATAAAGCAGAAATAGATGGTTTTCTCGAACTCTCTTGCTTTTTCAGTAATCCAGTGGATGTTGGCAATTTGATCTCTGGTTCCTCTGCCTTTTCTAAATCCAGCCTGAACATTTGGAAGTTCGTAGTTCAAGTACTGTCGAAGCCTGGCTTTGAGAATTTTGAGCATTATTTTGCCAGCATGTGAGATGAGTGCAACTGTGCCATAGTTTGAGAATTCTTTGGTGTTGCCTTTCTTTGGAATTGGTTCTCTTCAGTCCCAAAGAAGGTGATGTCAGAGGGTGATGGCAAATAGCAATTTCCCACAACTGATTAAAAACTGAATTGGAAGTCAGGAGTTCTTTCTGTTGCCCTGTTTGACCTCTGTTCAATGAGTATTTGGTAATTATATTTGAGGTAAGCAGAAAGGTAATTTTGGACCAAAGCCTTGACAGTGTATCCACAGATGTCAACTTGCTGAGACTAACTCCTTCAAATTCCCTCTCTCTGAAATTCTTCCTTGAGTATCTCCTTCTTAATAAATGTATCAGTGCTTCAGTGGTGATGAAATGTTTGCTGGGGGACTTCTGGGTGTATCAGGTCGCAGAGGACCAATCTTCTGTATCTATGTAATAGTGGATACCAGTGGATGAGTTAAATTTTGGTTTCATTCAAGAGTAGGCTACTTTCTAAGTGCAATTATGCTTTCACTGATAACAGTAACTTAGTTCAGTTGAAGACATATCTGTATCACCTCTTAAGGAGACAATTCTTGTCTGTTATTAATTAAGAAAGAGTGGGGAATTTATAACTTTTCCAAAAAACTGGAAATATTAATATTTCAATACTAATATGAAAGTTCTGCTGTTAGGCTAGCAAAAAATTACATAAATGTCCTCTTTTTATCACATATATTTCATCCATTTGATTCTCAGAATAGGAAGTAAGTTTATATTTTTTAAAATTAAAAACAAAATTTTTTTGACCCCACCGGCAGGCATGCGCGATCTGTTCCCAAACCAGGGATAAAATTTACGTCCTCTGAAGTGGCTCGCTGGGCAGTTTTAACCACTGAACCGCTAACGAAGTCCTAAGCTTACCATTTTTAATTAAAAAAAAAAAAAACCTTAAAGCTCCAGAAAAGTTTCTCCTGTCACTCTTCGATAGTCAAACTAAGCGGCTTTTTCCAACAGAGCCCCTAGCGAGCAATCTCTTCCCACGCTCCGTATCTGCCCGCCTCTGCTCTCTGACCGCGTCTTCAGCCCCCAGTCGACCTCCGCCTCCAACTGGGCCCCGCCCGGCTCCGCGTCGCCCCGGCCCGGCCCGCCCCGGCCCACCTGCTGTGTCTCTCGGCTCATTTCCTCAGCAGTTGCTCTCGCCCTGCCCCTCAGCGCGGCGCAGCGGAAAGGGCCTGCTCTGGGGCTCTCTAGCCCTCTGGAGGACTTGCCATCTGTTTCCGGAGGCGTCTGGCGGCGGTAGGTGGATCTGACGTGAGGAGCCGCGCTGAGTGGGGTGCTCAGTCAGTGCTGCTTTAGGCTCCGGTGTTTTGGCAATGGGGCAGCAGGGGTTGTGCAGTCTCATGTTGAGGTGAGTATGCGAGCGGCTAAGGACAGCCTCGTCACTTGCGGTTGCCCGGTTGCCCGGATGAGAAAGGTCGGGAGTGGGGACTGTCTGGCCTTGAAGTTTCGCGTCGACTTTGGAGACGCAGCGCTCAGACCCGACTCGCCCGGATGGGACTGGTTTTTTGATTTAAGGATAGTCACGGCTTTAGAGGGGGCTTCCTAGGTGGCTCTAGTGGTCAGAAAGCCACCTGTCTATCCAGGAGACATAAGAGACCACGGGTTCGATCCCTGGATGGGGAAGAACTCCTGGAGGAGGAAATGGCAACCCACTACAGTATTCTTCCCTGGAGAATCCCATGGACAGAGAAGCCTGGCTGGCTACAGTCCATAGGGTCCGAAGAGTCGGACACGACTAAGGAGACTTAGCACGCACAGCTTTAGAGCAATGTGTCTTGTTTTGACACGGTATCCATGGGCCTGGGGGGCTTCCCGTGTGCCGCTAGTGGTAAAGAACCCTCCTGCCAGTGCAGGAAGACATAAGAGATGTGGGTTTGATCCCTGGGTCTGGAAGATCCCCTGCAGGTGGGCATGGCAACCTGCTTCAGTATTCTTGCCTGGAGAATCTCATGGGCAGAGGAGCCTGGTGGGCTTATGGGCCACAGGGTGGCAAAAAGTCCGACACGACTGAAAGGACAGCATGAATGCACACGGCGGACCTGTTGTTCAGTATTTGAAAAAAAAAAATAGAAGAGTTGCTTTCCTTCCCCCCGTGTGTTTTTTTTAAAAAATTATTAACTTGTTTATTTTTGTACGTTGGAATTAGTTGTCCCTGTGACTCTAACTAGCTCACCAAGAGACTTGGCAGATATAAAGAAAATCAGTATATGTAATCAGTGCTGCTGCTTTTTTGAAGCTTTGAACAAATATCAAATTGTTTGAGAAACAAATTGGGAAGGCATATTTGTTAACAAAATTAAATGACTTGGGAAAGACTTTATCATTTCCAGAGTTCAGGTTGGTTTTGTACCTCCCCGAATTGCAAGGTGCACTGATTAGGCAAGTCCCGGACCCATTTGGGGGCTTTTATCAGAGATGCGTTTTCCAGGGCTAGGCCTGGTATGGGTATTACCCTAGCAAATCAGAGAACAGAGGCGAGTTTCATCCAGTCTATAACAATGTAGTCTACAAATGTATTAAGTTATAGAGTGCCAAAGTTTTCTGAGAGAAAGTAGGGCCTCTGTGCTGTGGTTGACACTTTTGTCCAGTCCTTAAAGTCAGGCTTCGCTTGGCTTTTCGGCCAGCATCTTGCTTTCCTACTACCATTCTTCACTACTTATCTTGCCCTGGTGCCAATACAGCCCTTGGAATTTGTTGTCATCGTTGTTCCCAATAGAGTACCTCACTCTGAAGATAACTCTCAAGTTTGTATGACTAGCCCCAATTTATCCTGAGCTCTAGTACTATTCACAACCACCTGAATGTCTTCTTTGCACTGTAGATGTACATTTGGACATAACTGCAACCCTTGTTCCACCTTTGCACTTTCAACTTCTTAGTACTATCCATCCTTTTAGATTCCTGAAGTTATCTAAGTTCTCCCACACTCCTAATCCTTATCTCTTCCTGCTGATTTGAATTTGAACACTCTTCTCATGATCTTATTACGCGTTCATTTTGTGGAAACTTGATTTATCTCTTGTTCAGTCACCAAGTCATGTCTGACTCTTTTCGACCCTCTGGACTGCAGCTCACCAGACTTCCCTGTCCTTCATCTTCCTGAGTTTACTCAAACTCATGTCCACTGAGTCAGTGATGCCATCCAGTCAGCTCATGCTCTGTTGTCCCCTTCTCCTGCCTTCAAGCTTTCCCAGCATCAGGGTCTTTTCCAGTGAGTCAGCTCTTCAAATCAGGTTGCCAGAGGATTGGAGCTTCAGCTTCAGCATCAGTCTTCCAATGAATATTCAGGGTTGATTTCCTTTAGGATTGACTGGCTTGATCTCCTTGCTGTCCAAGGGTCTCTCAAAAGTCTTCTCCAGCACTACAGATCAAAAGCATCAATTCTTTGGTGCTCAGTCTTCTTTATGATCCAACTCTCCCATCCGTACATGACTGCTGATTTATCTCTCATCTGTTTGCAATTTGAATAGATTCTGCACATGTTCAGTTCAGTTCAGTCACTCAGTCGTGTCTGACTCTTTGTGACCCCATGAACTGCAGCATGCTAGGCCTCCCTGTCCATCACCAATTCTCGGAGTCCACTCAAACCCATGTCCATCGAATCGGTGATGTCATCCAATCATCTCATCCTCTGTTGTCCCCTTCTCCTCCTGCCCTCAATCTTTCCCAGCATCAGGGTCTTTTTAAATGAGTCAGCTCTTCGCATCAGGTGGCCAAATACTGGAGTTTCAGCTTCAGCATCAGTCCTTCCCATGAACACCCAGGACTGATCTCCTTTAGGATGGACTGGTTGGATCTCCTTGCAGTCCAAGGGACTCTCAAGGGTCTTCTCCAACACCAGAGTTCAAAAGCATCAATTCTTCGGAGCTCAGCCTTCTTTATAGTCCAACTCTCACGTCCATAGATGACCACTGGAAAAACCATAGCCTTGACTAGACAGACCTTTGTTGGCAAAGTAACGTCTCTGCTTTTTAATATGTTGCCTAGGTTGGTCATAACTTTCCTTCCAAGGAGCAAGCGTCTTTTAATTTCATGGCTGCAGTCACCATCTGCAGTGATTCTGGAGCCCAGAAAAGTCAACCACTGTGTCCACTGTTTCCCCATCTATTTGGCATGAAGTGATAGGACTGATGCCATGTTCTTAGTTTTCTTAATATTGAGCTTTCAGTCTCCTCTTTCACTTTCATCAGAGGCTCTTTAGTTCTTCCTCACTTTCTGCCATAAGGGTGGTGTCATCTGCATATCTGAGGTTATTGATATTTCTCCTGGCAATCTTGATTCCAGCTTGTGCTTCCTCGAGCCCAGCGTTTCTCATGATGTACTGTGCATATAAGTTAAATAAGCAGGGTGACAATATACAGCCTTGACGTACTCCTTTTCCTGTTGGGAACCAGTCTGTTGTTCCATGTCCAGTTCTAACTCTTGCTTCCTGACCTGCATATAGGTTTCTTAAAGGCAGGTCAGATGGTCTGATATTCCCATCTCTTTCAGAATTTTCCACAGTTTGTTGTGATCCACACAGTCAAGGCTTTGGCATAGTCAATAAAGCAGAAATAGATGGTTTTCTCGAACTCTCTTGCTTTTTCAGTAATCCAGTGGATGTTGGCAATTTGATCTCTGGTTCCTCTGCCTTTTCTAAATCCAGCCTGAACATTTGGAAGTTCGTAGTTCAAGTACTGTCGAAGCCTGGCTTTGAGAATTTTGAGCATTATTTTGCCAGCATGTGAGATGAGTGCAACTGTGCCATAGTTTGAGAATTCTTTGGTGTTGCCTTTCTTTGGAATTGGTTCTCTTCAGTCCCAAAGAAGGTGATGTCAGAGGGTGATGGCAAATAGCAATTTCCCACAACTGATTAAAAACTGAATTGGAAGTCAGGAGTTCTTTCTGTTGCCCTGTTTGACCTCTGTTCAATGAGTATTTGGTAATTATATTTGAGGTAAGCAGAAAGGTAATTTTGGACCAAAGCCTTGACAGTGTATCCACAGATGTCAACTTGCTGAGACTAACTCCTTCAAATTCCCTCTCTCTGAAATTCTTCCTTGAGTATCTCCTTCTTAATAAATGTATCAGTGCTTCAGTGGTGATGAAATGTTTGCTGGGGGACTTCTGGGTGTATCAGGTCGCAGAGGACCAATCTTCTGTATCTATGTAATAGTGGATACCAGTGGATGAGTTAAATTTTGGTTTCATTCAAGAGTAGGCTACTTTCTAAGTGCAATTATGCTTTCACTGATAACAGTAACTTAGTTCAGTTGAAGACATATCTGTATCACCTCTTAAGGAGACAATTCTTGTCTGTTATTAATTAAGAAAGAGTGGGGAATTTATAACTTTTCCAAAAAACTGGAAATATTAATATTTCAATACTAATATGAAAGTTCTGCTGTTAGGCTAGCAAAAAATTACATAAATGTCCTCTTTTTATCACATATATTTCATCCATTTGATTCTCAGAATAGGAAGTAAGTTTATATTTTTTAAAATTAAAAACAAAATTTTTTTGACCCCACCGGCAGGCATGCGCGATCTGTTCCCAAACCAGGGATAAAATTTACGTCCTCTGAAGTGGCTCGCTGGGCAGTTTTAACCACTGAACCGCTAACGAAGTCCTAAGCTTACCATTTTTAATTAAAAAAAAAAAAAACCTTAAAGCTCCAGAAAAGTTTCTCCTGTCACTCTTCGATAGTCAAACTAAGCGGCTTTTTCCAACAGAGCCCCTAGCGAGCAATCTCTTCCCACGCTCCGTATCTGCCCGCCTCTGCTCTCTGACCGCGTCTTCAGCCCCCAGTCGACCTCCGCCTCCAACTGGGCCCCGCCCGGCTCCGCGTCGCCCCGGCCCGGCCCGCCCCGGCCCACCTGCTGTGTCTCTCGGCTCATTTCCTCAGCAGTTGCTCTCGCCCTGCCCCTCAGCGCGGCGCAGCGGAAAGGGCCTGCTCTGGGGCTCTCTAGCCCTCTGGAGGACTTGCCATCTGTTTCCGGAGGCGTCTGGCGGCGGTAGGTGGATCTGACGTGAGGAGCCGCGCTGAGTGGGGTGCTCAGTCAGTGCTGCTTTAGGCTCCGGTGTTTTGGCAATGGGGCAGCAGGGGTTGTGCAGTCTCATGTTGAGGTGAGTATGCGAGCGGCTAAGGACAGCCTCGTCACTTGCGGTTGCCCGGTTGCCCGGATGAGAAAGGTCGGGAGTGGGGACTGTCTGGCCTTGAAGTTTCGCGTCGACTTTGGAGACGCAGCGCTCAGACCCGACTCGCCCGGATGGGACTGGTTTTTTGATTTAAGGATAGTCACGGCTTTAGAGGGGGCTTCCTAGGTGGCTCTAGTGGTCAGAAAGCCACCTGTCTATCCAGGAGACATAAGAGACCACGGGTTCGATCCCTGGATGGGGAAGAACTCCTGGAGGAGGAAATGGCAACCCACTACAGTATTCTTCCCTGGAGAATCCCATGGACAGAGAAGCCTGGCTGGCTACAGTCCATAGGGTCCGAAGAGTCGGACACGACTAAGGAGACTTAGCACGCACAGCTTTAGAGCAATGTGTCTTGTTTTGACACGGTATCCATGGGCCTGGGGGGCTTCCCGTGTGCCGCTAGTGGTAAAGAACCCTCCTGCCAGTGCAGGAAGACATAAGAGATGTGGGTTTGATCCCTGGGTCTGGAAGATCCCCTGCAGGTGGGCATGGCAACCTGCTTCAGTATTCTTGCCTGGAGAATCTCATGGGCAGAGGAGCCTGGTGGGCTTATGGGCCACAGGGTGGCAAAAAGTCCGACACGACTGAAAGGACAGCATGAATGCACACGGCGGACCTGTTGTTCAGTATTTGAAAAAAAAAAATAGAAGAGTTGCTTTCCTTCCCCCCGTGTGTTTTTTTTAAAAAATTATTAACTTGTTTATTTTTGTACGTTGGAATTAGTTGTCCCTGTGACTCTAACTAGCTCACCAAGAGACTTGGCAGATATAAAGAAAATCAGTATATGTAATCAGTGCTGCTGCTTTTTTGAAGCTTTGAACAAATATCAAATTGTTTGAGAAACAAATTGGGAAGGCATATTTGTTAACAAAATTAAATGACTTGGGAAAGACTTTATCATTTCCAGAGTTCAGGTTGGTTTTGTACCTCCCCGAATTGCAAGGTGCACTGATTAGGCAAGTCCCGGACCCATTTGGGGGCTTTTATCAGAGATGCGTTTTCCAGGGCTAGGCCTGGTATGGGTATTACCCTAGCAAATCAGAGAACAGAGGCGAGTTTCATCCAGTCTATAACAATGTAGTCTACAAATGTATTAAGTTATAGAGTGCCAAAGTTTTCTGAGAGAAAGTAGGGCCTCTGTGCTGTGGTTGACACTTTTGTCCAGTCCTTAAAGTCAGGCTTCGCTTGGCTTTTCGGCCAGCATCTTGCTTTCCTACTACCATTCTTCACTACTTATCTTGCCCTGGTGCCAATACAGCCCTTGGAATTTGTTGTCATCGTTGTTCCCAATAGAGTACCTCACTCTGAAGATAACTCTCAAGTTTGTATGACTAGCCCCAATTTATCCTGAGCTCTAGTACTATTCACAACCACCTGAATGTCTTCTTTGCACTGTAGATGTACATTTGGACATAACTGCAACCCTTGTTCCACCTTTGCACTTTCAACTTCTTAGTACTATCCATCCTTTTAGATTCCTGAAGTTATCTAAGTTCTCCCACACTCCTAATCCTTATCTCTTCCTGCTGATTTGAATTTGAACACTCTTCTCATGATCTTATTACGCGTTCATTTTGTGGAAACTTGATTTATCTCTTGTTCAGTCACCAAGTCATGTCTGACTCTTTTCGACCCTCTGGACTGCAGCTCACCAGACTTCCCTGTCCTTCACCATCTTCCTGAGTTTACTCAAACTCATGTCCACTGAGTCAGTGATGCCATCCAGTCAGCTCATGCTCTGTTGTCCCCTTCTCCTGCCTTCAAGCTTTCCCAGCATCAGGGTCTTTTCCAGTGAGTCAGCTCTTCAAATCAGGTTGCCAGAGGATTGGAGCTTCAGCTTCAGCATCAGTCTTCCAATGAATATTCAGGGTTGATTTCCTTTAGGATTGACTGGCTTGATCTCCTTGCTGTCCAAGGGTCTCTCAAAAGTCTTCTCCAGCACTACAGATCAAAAGCATCAATTCTTTGGTGCTCAGTCTTCTTTATGATCCAACTCTCCCATCCGTACATGACTGCTGATTTATCTCTCATCTGTTTGCAATTTGAATAGATTCTGCACATGTTCAGTTCAGTTCAGTCACTCAGTCGTGTCTGACTCTTTGTGACCCCATGAACTGCAGCATGCTAGGCCTCCCTGTCCATCACCAATTCTCGGAGTCCACTCAAACCCATGTCCATCGAATCGGTGATGTCATCCAATCATCTCATCCTCTGTTGTCCCCTTCTCCTCCTGCCCTCAATCTTTCCCAGCATCAGGGTCTTTTTAAATGAGTCAGCTCTTCGCATCAGGTGGCCAAATACTGGAGTTTCAGCTTCAGCATCAGTCCTTCCCATGAACACCCAGGACTGATCTCCTTTAGGATGGACTGGTTGGATCTCCTTGCAGTCCAAGGGACTCTCAAGGGTCTTCTCCAACACCAGAGTTCAAAAGCATCAATTCTTCGGAGCTCAGCCTTCTTTATAGTCCAACTCTCACGTCCATAGATGACCACTGGAAAAACCATAGCCTTGACTAGACAGACCTTTGTTGGCAAAGTAACGTCTCTGCTTTTTAATATGTTGCCTAGGTTGGTCATAACTTTCCTTCCAAGGAGCAAGCGTCTTTTAATTTCATGGCTGCAGTCACCATCTGCAGTGATTCTGGAGCCCAGAAAAGTCAACCACTGTGTCCACTGTTTCCCCATCTATTTGGCATGAAGTGATAGGACTGATGCCATGTTCTTAGTTTTCTTAATATTGAGCTTTCAGTCTCCTCTTTCACTTTCATCAGAGGCTCTTTAGTTCTTCCTCACTTTCTGCCATAAGGGTGGTGTCATCTGCATATCTGAGGTTATTGATATTTCTCCTGGCAATCTTGATTCCAGCTTGTGCTTCCTCGAGCCCAGCGTTTCTCATGATGTACTGTGCATATAAGTTAAATAAGCAGGGTGACAATATACAGCCTTGACGTACTCCTTTTCCTGTTGGGAACCAGTCTGTTGTTCCATGTCCAGTTCTAACTCTTGCTTCCTGACCTGCATATAGGTTTCTTAAAGGCAGGTCAGATGGTCTGATATTCCCATCTCTTTCAGAATTTTCCACAGTTTGTTGTGATCCACACAGTCAAAGGCTTTGGCATAGTCAATAAAGCAGAAATAGATGGTTTTCTCGAACTCTCTTGCTTTTTCAGTAATCCAGTGGATGTTGGCAATTTGATCTCTGGTTCCTCTGCCTTTTCTAAAACCAGCTTGAACATCTGGAAGTTCATGGTTCACGTATTGCTGAAGCCTGGCTTGGAGAATTTTGAGCATTACTTTACTAGCGTGTGAGATGAGTGATTGTGCGGTAGTTTGAGCGTTCTTTGGCATTGCCTTTCTTTGGGATTGGGTTGAAAACTGACCTTTTCCAGTCTTCTGGCCACTGCTGAGTTTTCCAGATTTGCTGGCATATTGAGTGCAGCACTTTCACAGCGTCATCTTTCAGGAGTTGAAATAGCTCAACTGGAATTCCATCACCTCTACTAGCTTTGTTCGTAGTGATGCTTCCTAAGGTCCACTTGACTTCCCATCCAAGATGTCTGGCTCTAGCTGAGTGATCACACCATCGTGATTATCTGGTTTATGAAGATTTTTTTGTACAGTTCTTCTGTGTATCCTTTCCACCTCTTCTTAATATCTTCTGCTTCTGTTAGGTTCCACCATTTCTGTCTTCTATTGAGCCCATCTTTGCATGAAATGTTCCCTTGGTATCTCTAATTTTCTTGAGGAGATCTGTAGTCTTTCCCATTCTATTGTTTTCCTGTATTTCTTTGTATTGATCACTGAGGAAGGCTTTCTTATCTCTCCTTGCTATTCTTTTGAACTCTGCATTCAAATGGGAATATCTTTCCTTTTGTTCTTTGCTTTTCATGTCTCTTCTTTTCACAGCTATATGTAAGGCCTCCTCAGACAACCATTTTGCTTTTTTGCATTTCTTTTTCTTGGGGATGGTCTTAATTTCTGTCTCCTGTACAATGTCACAAACCTCCATCCATAATTCATCAGGTACTCTGTCTGTCAGATCTAGTCCCTTAAATCTATTTCTTACTTACCCTTTATAGTCATAAGGGATTTGATTTAGGTCATACCTGAATGGTCTAGTGGTTTTCTCCACTTTCTTCAATTTCAGTCTGAATTTGGCAATAAGGAGTTCATGATCTGAGCCACGGTCAGCTCCTGGTCTTGTTTTTGCTGACTGTATAGAGCTTCTCCATCTTTGGCTGCAAAGAATATAGTCTGATTTCAGTGTTGACCATCTGGTGATGTCCATGTGTAGAGTCTTCTCTTGTATTGTTGGAAGAGGGTGTTTGCTATGACCAGTGCGTTCTCTTGGCAGAACTCTATTAGCCTTTGCCCTGCTTCATTCTGTACTCCAAGGCCAAATTTGCCTGTTACTTCAGATATTTCTTGATTTCCTACTTTTGCATTCCAGTCCCCTATAATGAAAAGGACATCTTTTTTTGGGTGTTAGTTCTAGAAGGTCTTGTAGGTCTTCATAAAACTGTTCAGCTTCTTCAGCATTACTGGTCGGGGCATAGACTTGGATTACCGTGTGCCGGGACCAGCTGGCAATGAGAACAGGTCCCGACTGCAGCAGCACGGAAGCCTGAGAAAAAAGAGCTGAAAGTAAAGAATGGGGTCGAGAGGGCTGAATGCTCTTTAGGCAAGTCAGCAATTTTATTGAGTAAAGCAGCTACCTTTATACTAGTACAAGCAGAAAAACATAGTTCATAAAAAATGCCATCTGGTGTTTGTCACATCAATACAATTCTTTGTCTTAAGTGATTGCAGACGCTTACATCTTGTTTTGGCATTCCAAGATAAACTACCTAGTGAAGGTCACTACTATGTTTTTCTCAAGGAAGAACAAAGGAGACCCAGCAAATGTTTTACTACTTTATCATGGGG